ACTTATGCCAAAGCATCCCCATTCAAATATTTAAAGCATTAACAGGCTAGTCCTTAAAGCTAATCTACAGCTACCTAAGCAACTACGCGAACTGGCGCGACTTTGTATGGATTGCACGTTGATTCATGACGTCTGAAGTAGATGTAATGCAATATTATCCACAAGACTCTGAATAAGCATTATAATAAGCATCTCTGTTATAGCCTATACTGATTGTTTCTCTATATAAATTGACAATGATATGCATTGATTTACAGTATATTTTTCGACCGTCTACTCTATTATAGCTGCAGTTTAGCCACACTTACATTAGTTTTCTATACTTTTATTTCTTTTTATACCCTAAACCCATTGAAAATGGGAAATCAGGGTATAATGGTTTTGTGAAAAGTATGTAACAGGCAGAAGGAATAATCGCAGACCCCATAAAGTATATATATGCATTCTTGATCAGCACGACGAGCTGAGCCGATATAGCCCTGTCCGCCTGTCTGTCCATTCGTCCGCCCGTCCTCCGTCCGTATGAGTGCGTCGATCTCAGAAGATATAAGAGCGGGAGAGCTGAAATTTGGCATGCATACACGTGTGTACCATGCGCAGTACAAGTTTATCATATTTTTTCGATAACTCATCTGATAACTTTTTTATCGAGAATAATCGAAATATTGTGTTTTCAGCCTAATTTAAACACTTTTAAGCCTGGAGACTTCAGATTTACTGTATATATACAGTTGATCGATACGAAGATTTTGTAATTTTGTATTGTTTTAGTCTATATAAGTATATTTCTTATTTCCCAAACCCATTTTCAATGGAAAATCTGGGTATAATAGTTTTGTTTTATTTATTCTTAGTTTGACTCTTATGTAATAAATACATCTTTTAAATAAATCTACATCTTTTAATTATTCCTCTTATCATTTCATTCAATTTAAGCTGCACCAACACAGACTAAGACTCATTTGCTCACAAATAAATTTTTGTATAGCCCCATATAATTCATTATTCGTATAATTTCGAGTATATATATTAATTATATATCGCTTTTCGTCCATTATTCTATTGCAGCTTCTCAAGGAGTATACCCTTTGACATATTTTTCAGCCTGCATTTCCAATACAGTTCTTTAAAGTACACAATATCTTCTAGTCTATCAATTTCCACAATTGCAACTTATTGAGTACAGAACGCACTATTTGTGGACCTAATTTATTTTTAGTAATGTGTGTAAATTAGAGGGTATTTTCCGGTAAATCATTCTGATATACCTTAACCCAGAGCACACTCATACTATTTAGCCGATGAATCTACAGTTTCATTCTACTTCAAGTACTTCAATAGGAGTAGAAGTACTTGTATAGACAATATGCTTGTAGTCTATCAATGTCTATCTATCTATATATGTATATATATCAACACTATCTGTAAAGATTACTTGAATGCGTTGTAAATTCTTTTCATTATTCAGTCCAACTTATTTTCTGGCCTATTATTCACTTTCGCACTTTCTCACTCTTTCAGTTGAGTGGTATTTAGTCTATACCTAATATCAATAGCAAAGAAAAGCAATAGTCAAGATATATTTTTACAGGATATATTTTATCTTCCACTCTTTTTAAGCTGGTCAATATATATTTTAGTCCTGCACTCCCTTAAGCATTTCTTAGTCCATACATAACTCGTGTCTGGCCTCTGAGAACAACAGAACAGAAACCCTATTTACCATCCATTTAACTTGTGAAATATGGAAAATGAGAAACGTATGAAAATCTTGTTCATTTTATTTTCACTTTCTCTATTTTCTTTTGTAAATCTTTTTTTAAGATACTCAAAGCAAGCTCAACAATTGCAAATTTATTTACACACCAAAATTGATTACATATATATATCTGCTATTTGTCCGTGGAGAGATAGAATCTGCTCTAGCCACGCCCCTAATCTCATCTGCTGCCATTGCTGTTGTTTAAAAGCAACTCAAAGGCAAGAGCAACATCTTGACATTTTGATTTATTTTACTACAGACTGTTGCTGCAGCAGCTGTAGCTGTTGCTGTTGCTGTTGCTGCGGCTTGTTGCTGCGGCTTGTTGCTTGGCATAAACATAATCGGCTTATTGGCATTGCCCTGGCGGACTTGAATCCAGTTGAAAGCTGATTTCGTTGCCAAATAGCTGACACAGTTGTTGCTACTATATATACTATGGATACTGTTGCTGTTGCTGTTGCTGTTGCGGCTGCAGCTGTTGCTRCTCACCTTATCGCCATGGTAGCCTTTGTCCTGCGGCTTAGCTGCCTATTGCCTGCTGCATGCCCCAACTCGATGGCCTAAGAAGCAGCTCTAGTGCTTATGTAACTAAAAATCAAATGAATTGCTATTGTTGCTGCTACAATTGTTGCTGTTGCTGTTGCTGTTGGCATTGCTCTTGGTGTTGGTGTTGTCACAGAGTTAACGAGCTCGTTACGTCTCATTGACTTCGGCCGTGCTTTCTGTGTGCATTGCAGACTAATGGAAATTGAATTCACAAACCGATTTGCCTCCACAAATGCAAATGAAGTGCAAACTACTTACAGAGACTGGGGCGTGGCAGCGTGTGGGCGTGTGGGCGGACTGAGCAATTGTTTTCTGTATAAAAGTGCAAGACTTGCCACCTGAATTGCAAAGGCAGCGTAAAACAACAAAAAGAAGAAAAAACTTCTCAAAGTGTCAGCGTCTGAATCTGCTCTGCGCTTCCCCTCCTCCATCACCTTCATCATCGCCTACAGCGTCATCATCTACTTCATGTTCATCGTGTTCATCATCATTGCCAGTTGAAACAACAGCTCCGACAGTTCTTACCTTACTTTTTGTGCCTATGCAAACAATCGAGGATTGTGAAGAGCTTGAACAAATCTGAATGCCCACTTGAACGTAGCTGAAGTCTAACAAGGCTAACAAAAGGAAAACAATGGACTGAAAAACAGTTTGAAGTTGAGATTTGTGCAGCGAGTTTATATATCAGCGATTTAAGTCACGGGATCTGCTTTAAATTAGCATTATAATGGACTCCTGAAGAAAGTTTCGAAGTAAGCAGATAATAAAGGAAGAATTTAACGAGCTGTAACCGAATTTCATGTTAAATACAATTTAATTTATGTACAGATACAATATGAAAGCGAAAAAAAAAAAAAACTTTAGCTTGATATACGAATAAAATATAAAATAAATCTTAATACAATTTAAATTCATAAACAACTCAGAAAATAATAATAAATAATTGATTGTAAAACAAGATAATTGCTTTTAAATTGCCAGCGAATGGATCAAAACTAATTAGCGATTTAAGCTGTAGCTGAAAAATAGATGTTTTTCAATATTCCCCGACTAGATATGACTCAACCTCCATCGATCGAGGAGTTCAATAGTTTATTTTACCAAGTTTTATGTTATAATGTTGTCCAATGCCAAATGTTAGGCTAAGGTAGGCTCGGGTCAGGAATCATATGGATTTAATACTAGTAGCGCCAGCTATGTTGAATTTTCTGTTCTCAATATTCATTAGCTTCGCTAGCTACTTGGTATTTAAATTATATAATTATTTTTTGCCATAAGCTGAACGAATAAATGAATGCCAAAGCAAAAGTTTCTAGCATTTTCTTCTTCAAATCAGGGCAATATTAAAAAATTACAATTCATTACAATGTAGAACTATACAAAAAAAATCTGCAGTTTATATCTTTAATATTGTAGTATATAAATACTTATTAAAAAGAAATCAAATTAAATATTGATAAAAAAAAAAAAAAATTTAACGCATTGGGATAAGCTAACGCCAGATCTTTTATTTTCAATGGGCTTTAATGAGCGTATCAGGTATAATTTTTTCTGATTTTCAATATTTCCCATTGCCAAAGTCAGTTTTAGTAATTTATTTTATATATAATTTACAGTTATATTTAATAGTGCTGACACTTAAAAAAAATATAAACTTTCTAGAACTTTAATGAACGAATGAATGCTAGGAGGAACATTCCAGAATTTGCAACAATGCAAAACGAGAGAAACAAACTATGGAATATATATTTATACATACAATACATTTACATATGCACGTATGTAAATATTCTCCATACACAACTAATTCAAACTAATAAAAAAAAATTGCTTTTTATCCTAGTATCTTAGAAAAGAACTTGAAATATCTAAATGGAATCATAAATATTTAGCTGAATGCAAAAGCAAATGCAAATGTGAGAAAATAGAGGAATATAAATTGGATTGAATTGGATTGACAGTTGCAGCTTGATAAATGGCAGTCGAGTGAAGCTCTGAGCTGTGAGTAGTCATCTGATTGGGGCATTGATGCTCTCGCTTTCATACTTGTTGAGGACATGTGGGCTTCGTGTATGTGTGCATGTGTGTGTGTGTGTGTGGGTATTTTGTGGGTCGAGAGAGCAACACACGATTTGCCCACTCATATGTTTCGAAAGCAAACAAAGCAGAAGAAGAATCGGAACATGTGCGTCCCTTTTTTTTCTTTTGTTTTTCTTTTTGTTTTTCGCTGCTGTCAGACTCCCCCCGTGCCTGCCGACCCCCGCCGACATGGACTCCAGGCGGCGCTCCTGCAGTGTTGTGGCATGCAACAGGACGCATGCGTCTGCCTGGCTGAGTAAGGTAAATAAAGGCGCTCTGGTCACATTGGCGTCCTCTATTCCCCACTGAAAGCTGTTGCTCGACCTGGCAGACGTTTCTATTTTTCGCTTTATATTTAACTTTTATTTCATACATCGCAGGGATAAATAAATTAAAATAAAATTTATATCAATCGCTGTTCGCTCAGCTCGCGTGCTTTGACTCTCTTGGAGTTGCGAATGTGTCGAATGCCTGGTTTGGCTCTCTTATAAAAACAAAAAGTAAACCCCACACACACACTTACAGTGAGAGCGACACACACACACATACACACATACAGAGCGTCCGCTTGCCGGCGAAATGGAAAATTGTCGCACACAAAATTTTTAGTCGGAAATTAGACGCCAACGCGTTCGCAACTCAGAGCGCGCGCGCCTCTCTCTCTCTCTCTCTCTCTCTCTCACTCACTCACTCTATCTGTCTCTAGCGCTCACACGTACTCGCGCTCGCTCAGACACACGCGCTGACCGCCACAGTGTGGCCAGCAAGTGTTAAAAAGTTGTCAAACGCAGCGGATCGAACGTATGTATGTATATCGAGATATA